CGCTGGACACCGGTGACCGGGAGGCTCGCCGGCGTGACATGTCCTTACCGCGTGCTGACCGTGGCGCACATCAGCACGTCGCTCAGCATGAAGAGCCGGCGCTCTTTGGTCTTCACCACCTCGCCCCGGTCGTTGTAGACGGTTTCAATCATGTCGTCGGAGCGCACGAGGTACCTACTCCCGCTGCTGAGAAGCTGAGAATTCACAGGACACAGTTACCACAACCCGGCTCATCAAGGAAGGGCACAGGGGTGGGGGTGCAGCGCAGGGTGGAGCGCATGCCCAGTGTGCACGAGGTCCTGGGCTCCCCCCCAGCACCTCCACTAAAGTAAATAAATAAACCTAATTACACCCCCAGCCCCCCAAAAAGAAAAAAGGATGAGAAAAAAAGCTCGCAAAACACAGGAGCAGATGATGTCAAAGTTTTATAGACTTCTTCCCTTAAAGAGAATCCGTGTACTCCTGACTGCACTTCACGCGTGGCCCACACCACGTGGTCTTTTCTGAGCAAACCACACAGGGACAGGACTGTAACTTCCTCTGGAAGCACGACGTCCACGTCGGAGGCACCGGTCCAGCCAAGGAGGGCTTGGCCCCTTCCAGCATCACTCAGTGTCTTCCCCCCCGGAAGACTCGCTCCGTCCCCGACAGGCTGTCACCCCACCCCGTGTTACTCATGTCACCGTATCAACCACCAGGAATGTCTGTGAGTGAAAGTAACTATTTCGTAATTTTGTTTTCCCAAAGGATAGCATAATTAAGAAATCACCCTCAGGGCTTACGGTCCGCCACTAAAACCTTCACCAAACAAAATACGCTTGGCTCTTTGTAAAGATGCTTCGTGTGAATTAGTAAAATGACAAACCTGTACATAAGTCAGACTTATTTTTAGCAATTTTGCCCAGTAGGAAACCCGGAATCCTTAGCGCAAACGTCCACACTGGCCGGCTGGCCTCGCCAGGGCACTCCGCCTGCACGGTGGCAGGGGTGGGGCCACGTGCACACTGAGGTGACAGCAAGGAAACACCACTTCCCTCGTCCCCGAAGCACATCCCGGGTTCCCAAACACTCGGGCAACACGGGGAGCGGATCTGACACAACAGAAGCCACTCATCAGCGAGCGCGAGTTTCCATGTGTTAAATTCCCACACAAATCATTTAGGGAATCAGGGAAACCTCAGCTTGCGATGTATGACAACCAGGTTCCTGCAGTTAAACTACTGGATGTCCCTCTGTAGCAGGAAGTCACCCCCGCCAACAAAAACAAAGGTGACTTCAGCCACAAGGCCCAGCTTCACATGGCTCACAGCACAAACCTCCTCCTGGGGCCTGGCATGAGGTCACCGCGGCAGGGAAACGGCTTCGTGAACACGAAGCTGACACGCAGTTCTGCAAAAACCGCCTTCATGCTGTTTTCCACGTCACTTCTTCATGACAACGGACGCACAGGCCGTGTGTGGATGGGCACAGATAACAGTGCATGCGGACACCTGCGCTTTAAATAGGGCTGTCTACGGTGGAACACCACATTCTGGAGGTAAAAGCCTGCTGAAGAGTGGCTCGTGTCCTTTTGGGGTCCTGGGTCCACGAGGACCTAGTCCACCTGGGAGCCCCTTTCCTAAGAAGGTGCACATCGTCTAGCGCTCGCGACCCCCATGCCTCCCCACCGACCCTCCGTCAAGGGCCTCCTGGCAGAGGTTCCAGGAGACAAGAAACAAGCAGCGAGAGGGCGACGGCCACCAGCATGAAGGGGACAGCACGCACCAGGCGTGGCCACCGGCACAGAGCGGGCAGCGCGCACCAGCACAGAGCGGAGCGGGCACCAGGCAGGGCCGCCAGCACGGAGGGGACAACGCGCGCCCGGCACGGCCGCACCTTGCTCACGTAGCGCTCGTTGGCAGCCTTGGCTATCTGCCTGATCTCGCAGCGCCGGTCAGCGTCCCTCTTTCTCTCGTTCAGCTTCTCTGCCAGTGTCTCGAGCTCCGTCAGCGCCATCTGCAGGGGCAGCCGGTCGGGGTGGCCTCGGGACGTGTTCTTCAACATGTCCTTTCAGAGAGACAGGGTGGAGGGGCCGTGTGACGGGCGTGGGGGCAGCGGGTGGTCCTCGCACCCCGGCCACGGCCGCAAACGGCCAGCGTGGGGGCAGCGCCGGCCCCTTCCGGGGAAGAGTGGAACGAGCCCCGGGGGAGGGACAGCGAGCACGGTGACCTGGCCTGGCCGACACCTGAAGCTCCCTGTGTGAAAACAGCAGCGACTGATTAAACGGTGATGCAGACAGAGCCAGAGCCGCACGCATGTCCCAGCAGAGGACACCCCCGAAGCGCGCGTTCCCCGGCCCCAGAAATCTCTGCTCTCTGCTGACAGTCGGACTGCTGCCCCAGCTTGAGTCAGACCAGGGGCGCCAGGCCCCAGGCGGTCCAGGTGGGACACGGGAGCACCGCTGGCCCCCACCGCACTGGCCTCGGCTCACACGGCGGGCCTGCGTCCTGGGCCTCACGGCTCTGCGGGCCACGTGGCCCGGGCAGCGCACAGAGCACAGCTCGGCCACCGAGCAACGGCACCGCATGGGTCAAACTCGGAGTCAGCTCTCCAGAGAGACAGCCAAGTGCCAGGCCACGTCACCTGCCGACTTCGCAGAAGGAGGGCAGGCGAGACTGGGCCTCCCTCCGCGTGCTTCCACCCGTCCGCCCCCCGGGATCTGTGCCATGCCCTCATCCCTTTAAACCTCTTGTTCTTTCCAGTCTGAAAAGAACTTGCATCATGATCACTCGTTTCCTGTTGCAGTGAACAGTATCTCCTGTTCCAGGCGACTGTTTCCCTGTGAATCATGTCAAACCCCATCAAGGCGAAGTGAAGTATCGTCAAAGGAAGCCCTGTACCATCATAGCCCACAGGCAGTGCCGGCCAGGCCCCGGGGCCGTCAGCAGCATGAGCACCGCACAGAACCGGGCCGTGTGCTGGCGCTCCCAGACCGCCGCTTGTTCTGGCACATGCGGGAGGGAAGGGCCTGGGATAAAGACAAAGCCTTCTGGGGCCACGTGTTAGAGTCCGGCAGGCACCGAGGGGCCAGGGACATGGCCGTAGGGTCACAGTGACCACAGGTAATGGGCCCCTGAGCTAAGGAGGTTCAGGTGTGGTGAGGACCAGAGAACAGAGACACAAGAGGCAGGGGAGCGGCTGGCGGGGCTGAGAAGTGGAGGAAGGGTGCACTGTCCCCTGCCGCCACCCCCTCCAGCCCCTCCACCGCACACTCAGAGCTCAGGGACGGAGGGCACCTGCCCCGTCTTCCAGTGGGTCCTGCGAGGCGGGGACCCCGGGCACATCCCCACAACCATCTCTTAGGTAACCTGTCTGAGCCCTGCCCCCATGAGTGCGCATGCTCAGGAAGCAGAAAGGCCGGAGGGCCCGCCCCGCGGGGCACCTGCTCAGGCTGACCTGGGACCAGCAGCCTGGATGCTGCCCTGCCGTCAAGTCATCGTGAAGACTGTTCTCTGCCGGGAGAGCTGGGCAGGCGCCCAGGTGGGGCGGGAGCGGGCAGAGGGGACGGGCCACGTGGGAAGCACTGGGGAGCCCAGAGAGGACCAGGGCGAGCAGACGCATCTGCTCAAGAGGACGCGGCCTTCAGCCAAACCGAGTTCTGATCCTGACTTTCCATCTACTCCTGCCCAGCAAATCGAATCATTTGGGAATAAGCAAAAACAAGGATACGGGGAAAGCGAGCAGGACTCTCCCAAAAACCACCTTCTAAAATCTGGAACCACGCGATGGGTGGGCAGTGTGTCCGCAAGTCGTCCCCGTGGCTGGGGACGTTCACTGTCCATCTTCAACCAGTATCAATGGCCAGGCAGCTAAGCAAAGCCGCTTGATTTAATGAGAGATGGGAGCTGAGTGGTCACTGAGAAACCCGCGTGGGCAGAGGCCACGGGGGACCCTCCCAGGACACCAGCACTCCCGATGCCCCACGTCCACCTACGCAGCCAGGTGAGCGCTGACCCTGCCCGGTGTCTGGGCCCGGGGCCCCGGGAGACCGAGCTGCACCCAGCAGGGGAGGGCCTTCCTGGTGTGACGTCTTGTATCTGCACTCAAACCAGCCTCCTCTGTAAACCAGCACCGCATCTAGCTGAAAAGGCAGCCTAAAAAGCCGCTGGGCGGGGAAATCGGGAAACCCTCCTTCACAGACCTCCCCCACTCGGGCCGCATACGGGCTCCGTCAACCACGGTCAGTTTGCGTAAGTCCTGGCACAGGTTCCTGAGCCACCCCCCACCCCAACCCCAGGCACACGCCTGACCCCAGAGCGAGACCCTGGACCTTCCGGCACCCCCCCCCCCGCCTGGTGACCGTGTGCAGCCCGCCCCCCACTGGTGTCTGAAGTGGGGGCCATCTCCTGGGACAGAGCCCCTCCCTGCGGGGTCCAACATTCTTCTGGGGGCGTTTTGACCTTGTTCAGCAGGTTGGGGTCCCCAGAGCCCACCCCACCCCCCGGCAGTCACCTCATGTCACTGCTCAGAGGAGAGGAGGGGCCGAGAGCCTGCTGTCGGCAAGAGGAGACGCTCAGTCAGGCCAGGCCGGCCCACCTCCGAGCCGGTGAGGAGCGCGGACGGGCGCGCAGGAGGGGCGTACCTGGAGCAGCAGGATGAACTGCGGGAACCTCTGTATGGGCTTCATCATCAGGCTGTAGAGCGTGACGCGGTCGGGGCTGGACTCCTGGCACTGCTGCGGGAGACGGGCGCTCACTCGTGCGCGGACATGGCCGGCCGGGGGCACCCACGCCTGCCTGCGCTGCAGGCCTGCTCCAAAACAGCCTCCGCACCTCGCACCTCACACGCACACGGGTGCACCTGCGTCCACAGGGCGCCCTGCCTGGCCTCCTGGCCACAGCCTTCCCCGGTCTTCACTCTGGGTTTGAGAGCCACCTCTGACTGCTGGACAGTGCTCGCACTTGGGATCTGATCTCAGCCCTCTGAGGGCTAAGTAAGCTTCTGAGGTTCTACACCCACAGGAAAAGTGCAGTTCTCCCCCCAAAAAGTCACAGAATCCTGAATCAGAGCTGCAAGGGCCCTTGAAAGCAGCGGGCCCCACATGTCGGGGGCGAACCCTCCCTGCTGCCGGGGCTCATCCTGCGCTGGGCCAGACCTCCCCATCGGAGGCTTCGCTCAGCCGTGCAGAGGGTGGGCAGCCCCGCCCCGCTCCCAACATCAGAGGAGGCCCCAAGCCCAGGAGCCTCACCAGCCATGTGGGGCTCGGCCTCGCTGCCCGACGCCCAGAGCGCCGCGGAGCCCTCCAACCCAGACCCCGAACGCCACGCCCTGCTCCCCCCAGCGCTGTGCTGAAGGCCGGAAGCAAAAGGCCACCCACACACTTCCAAGGACGTGCAAATAACGGTTATTTTCAAAAAGCTACGTTACCACTAGAAATTCACCTTTATTTCTAGCACTGATCCAAGACCTGGGGTCCTGATGGTGCTAAAATCTTTACAATAAACAACATTCTACTTGTAGAGGCAAAAGGTTTGGGAAATTTTCATTAGGAAGCACTCTGACATGGGACCTCTTATCAGAAGGTATTAAAACCCCCCAACTTTTTTTTAAGTGCTTACCTTTAAAAATTCAAGAAAAGCAGGTTTTGTAGCACACGTTTTCTTAAGGATTGCCACCGCTGTGCTAAAATTATTCACATATTCACTGTAAGCATCCAGCACCATGGACTTGGAAAACTGAAATACAGGAGGAAATTGAGAAGCATAAACAACGCAGAGTCCAAACGCCCCCTTCCCGAGCTTGTCACAAAATACTGAATCCCGCACCAGCGACGACCCTCAGCCACCGACGTTCTCACAGGATAAACTTTGTTAGGCTGTGTGATCGCTTTTTGCTTTGAACAAACTTGCTAGGAGTTGTTAAATGGCTGGTTCTCTCACTGTGCCGCCCCCAGGGCACTTTGGCATCCCTGCTCCGAACCATGGCGCCGCGGGTCTCAGTTAAGGACTTGTCCTGACGACGGACGTCTAAAGACACGGCTACCGACATCTTTCCTTAACTTCCTGCCAACAGTGGGCACTCCGATCTCACCTCCAGGTGAGAGGCAGCAGGGAGGGATGGAAGGGGCCGGCTTACCGAGGCCACGAAGACGTCTCCGATCATCTCCACGGAGTCCCACTCGGCCACGCGGCTGGCCAGCGCCATCTGGAACAGGCAGTGGCACTGCAGGACCTCCTTGACCCGGTAGAACACGGTCCGCAGCTTCCTCTCGCTCAGCATCTTGGGCTCCATCTCGGACAGCGGCCTCTCATATTGCTGGGAGGGGGCAGGGACGGCACGGGTGCTCGCACGGCCCCCAAGAGCCGCAGACAGGCCCCCGTGCGAGTCACACTTACGGCAAAGCAAGTCCCCCCACCACTGAGGTCAGCACACACGCGGCTCTTAGACCGTTTTGAGAATTCTGCAAACGAGTACTTTACGGTTCACACATGTCAACGTACATACGTAACAAAACAAACGCACTGCATAGCGAGGCACTTCCGTACCTCCAGGATCCTCTTTAGAGCATCCACATAGTTCTTCTCACTGTCGACCACGGAGCCCAGAATGTACCTTCTCACCACCTGTCGGGATTTGAAAGCACGATGGTCGAAAACGGCCTCAGAAGACAACAGATCAATTTTACTTCTATGTTGACGCAAGTTGATAAAGAAGTTTTTGTTTTCAAAACAGTAGGTCAGCGAAACCTCCCAAGGCCTTAAAGTATTTTAGATGATGTGTTAACTAACTCCCACGCTGGGCACAAATGCACTTCCCCCATCACCTCAATTTTGTTGTGTATTTTTAACCCTCAAATTATAAACTTTAACCCCAGCAGGAGAATTAAGTTGTAGCATTAATAACGGTTTCACTCACTTATCCAGTGACAATGAACCGAATTAACTGATAGCATTTTAAGTGTCCAGCATGGAGTTACGCGGTATTTCGCGGATGCACTAAGTATTAAAAACACAGTTCCAGTCTTGACTCAGGGAATGATGTCAGTAACACTAATCTAAAATCATTCCAAAGTTACTTTAAAAAAAAAAGCCTTTGGAAGGTGGAGGCACAGCTCACCTCCGAGGCTGAGGACATGTGAGTGAGTTACCCGTGCCATTTCCAGCTGCAAAAGGTCCTCTACCGTCTGGGATCCTTGATTGCAAATGGTGACAACACTGGGTTTACTTCTCGTTACTGAAGCACACGCAGGCACAAATTCCTAACCCAACCCACACCCACAGGCACCCCGGCCGCAGTCCGCGGCGGGGAGACTCATTTCAGAACCACGATGCCCCCTGGCGGCAGAGGGTGCCCCTTCCACGGGAGACGCCTCCAGTCCCCACTCCAGGGTCGGACACCGAGGGACCAACTCCTTTCTTTACAAGAAAGGCTGTTTCATTCACAGAATTAAGGCAAAAATCAACCCTTCTGGGGTCCTTGAGGAAGAAAGTGACATAAAGGGTTGTCAAGACTAAAACACAAGCGCACACACACCGCCCTCCTGCGGCTGACTCCCAGCACGGTCGGCCCACAGGCCCGCGCTCTGAAACGAGGGTGAGACCCCACGACCGGGATGCGCCCCACACTGCAGACGGTCAAATCCGGGCCGCCTCCTCCCCAAACCCAGAGTCCCAGACACCACCCCAAGTCTGGACTCAGGGTATCTGGGGGGCTGGGGGATCCAACCTAGGAATTAAATGTATTTAAAGTCCTGAGATGACACCAATGTGTTAGGTCGAAGGACCTGGAACTGCTATGAAGACAACTGGAAAACACAAAGTGAAACCAGCCAGCTACCGGGATCTCACGGCCGCTGCAGGCAGGTCAGCAGGTGGACAGCGCGCCCAGTGCAGGTTCCCAGGCTCAGTCTTCCGAGACCCCCACCCGAAGGTTGTGGGGAGAACTCAGCCCCGGGACAGGCTCTCCTGCAAAGCCGTCAGCGTGGAGGTCTCGGGTCTCGGGGCTGGAGGAGGAGGGAGCAGCCCGCCTGTCCCCGGACCGGAGGCCCTTCAGCATCAAGGCTGCTTCAAAATGAACACCCACGCAGGAAGTAAAGGGGGCTGTCTGGATAGGCGCGTGAAGACTGCTAGATACCCTGCACTTTTCCTGACAGTTATGGGGCCTTATTTCAACTTTGGAAGAAATTAAAAAGAGCGTCAACATCCTGGTTTAATCTTTTAAGAGAAACTCCTGTGAGAACCGGCAGTTACCAGCGGGAAAGACGTGGCCTCTGTGAGCCGCGCGGTGGAGGAAGCGAGCTGGGGGGGGCAAGCACAGAAGCCGAAGCACAAGTCAGAGCCCAGCTGCCGCCTGCTCCGCGCGGAGGGCGCCTGCGAGGTGCCTGGAAGAGCCCGGCCCGCACCACGTCAGAGTCCTGATACGCCACAAGGGAGACGCAGGGGGTACAGCGTCCCCGCTTCACAGAGGAGGACAGCACACAGACAGAGCCACCCGCCCCACCAGAGTCTCCCGGTGCCGCAGTGCCGGGGTCGGAACAGGTCTGTGGACGCCTTCCGGGGCGACCTTTCCCGACCTGGACACACCCGTCCTAGCTGTTACCACCCAGCCCTCTGGGGGAGACCACAGACCAGCAGGCGTGAGTGTCTGTTAGGGCCCTCCAGGCTCGAAACACTGTCTCCTGACCGACCCTCACCACCCCTCACTGCCCCCAAGTCCAGGCTCGGACAGTGACTCCAAGTGGTCACTGTGCCTCTGGCCCACCCGAGCCCCCATCTCTGCACGGCCAGCTGCCCCGTCCACGGCCCTTCCCGTGGTGCTCCCGGCCCATCCGAGCCCATCTCCACACAGCTGGCCCCCCTCGTGGTGCTCCCGGCCCGGGGGCTCTGCTGCACATCGTGCCACACGACACCATGTCATCCAAGAACAGGGCCTGGCTGCAGGGGCCCCAAAGGTGGGCACGTCCCAGCCAGAGGCCCCCCGGCGAGGTCGAGGGCATTTTCCAGCAGTCAGCTCCCTTTTCAAACTTGTGAGGCTCAACCAGGTGCATGAGCCACGAAGCAGAACCACGAGCGGGGCCAGCAGAGCCCCGTCCCCGCCGGCATGGGGGCCACATTTCAGACCCGGGAGCGTGCGGGAGGCGGAGGACGCAGGATGCGGAAGGAGCTGGACGCAGCCACGCCATCTCATGGGCCACCCCACCACACAGGCCACCCCGACCATGACCTCCTCTGGGCCCGGCGTCCCCCTCTCCCCGGAGGACGTGCAAGGATTACACGAGGTGAAGTGTGTGGGGGGGCTCACAGGCTATCTGTGGTGTCCCCTGCCTTCCACTCATTTCCACGGTTACACTGGGGGTGGTACTCGAAATCTACGGCCCGGATGCTGGAGCCCAGAACACAGCTCCTGACCAGGCCCCGGAGGCCACAGCTGCAGGGTTAGCCCCTTCCTTGCTGGACCAGGAGAGGCCCATGGAGGGGCCCAGGTGGATGGAGCGACCAGGAGTTTGTGACAGCAGGTGATCCCCAGCGGCACGTGAACAGCCAGCCCAGCTGCTCTGGCTAAAAATAAGTCACAAAGCGGAGCAGCAGCCCAGCTCGCCCACCTGCTGCTGAGATAAGCCTTCAGGCATCGGGGTCAGGACGGCTTCCGGGTGCCTGCAGTCCACGTCGATAAAGACGTTCTGCTCCTCCTCCTCCAGACAGGACCTGTGATCTTAAAGACAGACAGAACGTGCTCGTTGGACGTGGAAACAGCACCTTTCTAACAGCACAGCCAAGGTCGCCGCCGACGCGTCGGGCAGACAAAGCCAAGAAAACTCCCTTCCCGCAAGAGCGGCGCAGCATCTGTCGGTGTTTGAAATTCTCAATGCTCGGCGTGTAACTTCCAGATAGATGCGTCATTCGAGTACCTAGACGGTAAAGCAGGAATACGCATTTCAGCCTTTTCATCTGCAGAACGCCAGCCAGGAACAAAGACAGGCAGCCAGGAACGACTGAGCGCCGACCCTCGGTCAGCGAGACCTTTCTGGCTGTCGGCCCTCCTCACCAGAAATCTGAAAAGGAACCACTCTCCCAGAGTCAAAACTTCTGGCCAAAGCGAACCTCATTTCTAAAGACTTAGATGCAGCTAAACAATCCAAAGCATCCACGAAAAGGCTGGAGAACCAGAAACGCACAGCGGTCCTCAGGTGACAAGAACCCTGAGGCCGCCCCACTCGAAGACACAAAACCCTAGAGAAGAAAGCTGCCTGGGAGCTTCAAAACCCACCGCGCCTCCACACCAAGGAGAACGGCTGGGACTCAGGACCCCGACGGCGCCACGTGCTGCTGAGGACGTGGGGCGCAGGATGGCGCGGCCACTCTGGGAGACCGTCCGGGGGGCCCTGCACAACCAAACACGCTCTCACCCTGTGACCCAGCAGTCACGCTCCTGGGGATTTTCCCGAAGGAGCTGAAACCTTACGTCCACTCGAAAACCTGCACACGCACGTTTCCAGTGCTTTTACCCGTAACTGCCAAAACGTGGATGCAACCAGGACGCCCCTCAGCAGGTGAACGGATAAATAAGCCGCGGACCAGGACCATCCAGACGATGCGACACTATTCAGCTCAAGAGAAATGAGCTGTCCAGCCGTGGAAAGACGAGGAAGAACTTTAAAGGCACACGACTCATCGGAAGAATCCAATCTGAAAAGGCCACACGTGTGACTCCAACTGTGAGAACATCCTGGAGAAGCTAAAACCCTGGAGACGTAAGATCAGCGGCTGTCAGGGGCTGGGGTTCGCGACGGATGAGCAGTGGAGCACAGAGCGTTTTCGCTGTGACGCCACGTGGTGGACACAAGTCATTGTGCCATCTGTCCAAACCCACAGAACGGACACCACCAGGAGTGCCCCCAGCGTAAACCACGGGCTCGGGGTGACGGGGACGTGTCCACAAGCTCACAGCTGTGACAAGTGGACCGTCTAGGGGGTGCTGATGGCGGGGGAGGCTGTGCGGGGAGGACGGGGACACGGGGCATCTCTGGACTCCTCACTCAGTTTTGCTGTGAACCTAAAATTGCTCTAAATTATGCTCTTTAAAAAAACCCAGAACGTCCCAGTGTCCAGACCCCGCTCGAGACTCGCAGACGGCCTGAGCGGCGGTGGGCCTGCGCGCCTGGTTCCTGCCTGGGCACCTCCAGCGCCCAGAACCACGAGTTAGCCCAGTCTCCCCGTTTCGCAGCTCAGGGAACCAGGGCCACGGGGTTTGGGGTGTGTGTATCGCGCTGCCAACCAGGGATGACCCTTCCCGCTCCCCCACTCTCCCCAGGCCCGCCCCTCGTCCTGTCCCAGGGACCTCGTTCGCCTGCAGATCCTGCTCCAGGGGTCTAGGGTGGACCCATGTCGGCACTTGTGACTAGACCCCGGAACCAGGGCCCCAAACCCCAGCCTCTGCCCTTCTCGGGCTCTGCCTGTGTGTCCCCCACAAAGGGTCCCCTCCGGAACACACGGGCTGCAGCCACCTCACTGCCATCTCGCTCCCCGGACAAACCTTGTCTTGTGTTAAGAGGCTCACAACTGCACAAGGATTAGCACTTCTTTAAAGGCCTCGGTAGTTCCAGCTGCGATTACAGATGGTCTCCCTGGGCCATTCCCCGAGGAAGCACAGGGTCTCAGAGTCCTCTCCAAGCACCGTGATTAGCAAATGCCGCTCTGAGCCGGCACCGGATTTGCACCTTAGAAGCTCGTAGGAACAACACAGGAACGCGCCATTAGAGGACCCAGTCGGAGTCACAGCGCCTCCGTGTGACACAGAGCCTCCCCTACCGCCTAGCGAGGCGCCCACCAAAACGCCCATACACGCCAGCGATCCTTGGCCCGGAGCCGCGGCCCAGACGGCCCGTCCTCTGACACGCACACAGCTCGGGCTGCTGCCCTTACTGAAATTTCACAAACCCTGACAATTCTGACCTCACTCCGGGCGCCTCTCACCAGAACAAGTCCCTGCAGTCCTGCTTTGAGCCTGCCCTCCTCAGCCTCCCCGGGCGGTAAACACAGCATCGTCATGATCATCATGAACAAGACTGCGAAGAATCCACGCCTGATTGGGGTCTCTGGGGACCCAAGGGGACGAGGGTGGGAGGACCCGTCCCCCAAGGAGCACCATGCATCCAGCTGCTGAGGGAGACGGTAAAAGGGAAGTGGATCCCCGCCCGCGAGAAGTCGGTGAACTTCCTGCAGCTGGTGGACCCCCCGGAGGAAGTCCCAGATGCCTGGTGCCCACAGGTACCTGCAGCCGAGGCCACAGACCCTGCCCCATGTGCTGGGAGGAGGCCGTGCGCCGCCAGCACATGCAGGACTGAGGAGGGGGCGACACCCAGGGGACCCCGTGTGCGAGCCTGCGGACCTGCAGAGACGAAAGACTTGGTCCTGATGAAGGAGCGGCCCCGCTTCACCGCAGCCTTGGTCCGCTCCAGCCCGTCCTTGGTGCCTTCCCTCGCCGCCCTCATGAGCTTCTGCATCTGCGGAAAGGGAGACAGGTGATGGGGGGGCGGCGACCAGCATCTCCTTGCTCTCCACGAATTTTTTAAAAGAATACTGTCAAGTAGTTTGGTCTTGAAACGCCATCTGAAATTGGCTCTTTGATCTGGCAGAGCTTTGCTGGCTGTTTCGAGTGTGCACGTGGTGTGCTGGGGGAGGGGGAGGGCTGTTTGGTTTGGTTTTGCTGGTTAAAAAAAAGGAAGAAAAACAAACTTTAAAATCGGAGCCCTTCCTTGACATAAAGGAGTCTCTTGCTGCATTTAAAAGTCAGTCCTCGCTTTTATTATAAACACCTGCCGAGAGCTCTGCAGAAGCCGAGTCTGGAGAAGCCACGCTTGCAAAGTAAACAGTCTGCCCGGGGTTAGCAGGCAGATCGCAGGGAATAGCAGAACCACCCACTGGAGACCCCGCCCACCCAGCTTGGCCCCGGACCCTCCCCACCGGCCCTCCTCAGCTCCCCCGGGAGGCCAGCCCAGGGGCTCACAGGCCGTCCGTCCTGAGGGCCACGGGGAGCCCGCCCAGGACACGGAGAGGCCGTGCCCACTGAACGGACCTGATGAGCCAGTCCCACGACTCGGATGGGGGGACGGCCCGCAGAGGAAGCGGCAGACCCCCGCCCCGCCCTGCCCAGCGGAGGCT